AACCGGGACTAAAGATCATCTTTAGCCCCAGTTTTTATTGCATCTGGGACTATTGTGGAATTCGGCCGACCGACGAAAGATGGTTTCTCCACCAGTGCAACGTACCTTACTACTGTTGGAATTTAATCCAATTAACTAATTGAGTCTTAGCCTAAACATGATCACCTTCTGCTTATGCGGAAATTAATTGATCTACTGACCTGAGATGAAGCCATTGCTTTTCTTCTTTCTTCTTCTGTTGTGAGATACCTCACGAACCCCTTCCAGTGTCTAATCGATCGGGCGATTGATTTAGGGTTTGAGGTTAGAGAGAGATCAGATCGTCACCTGCCTCCCTCCTTCTCTTTCTTTTTATAGGCGACACTGGTGGGGCTCGGGGGTTTATCTCAATCTGAAATTCGAGTCTATTTTGTACCGATCACACAAAACAAATTTATCTCTTAGTTTGTTTCTTGTTAGGATAGGAAAACCGGTGGGATTTTAACCTTATCCTAACTAACCGGCATTAGCCGATAAAATCAACCAACATTCTCCCCTTGATTTTGAGACTAACTGACGAGTTTATCAAATAAAATAGCTCCCCAAAGCAATGTGTCTTCGACAACATTATGCGTCACCGAGACAACAAGACCTATAGTTTACTATAGTACCCAAATAAACTCAAGCTTAACTTAGTGGGTGTTGATTGAAAAATTAAGTCCCCCTCATCCAGGATCTTAGTGAGGCTCTTATTTATGCATGTACTGGCCAGAACATATCTTAATCAATCTTAACTTTATGAGCCTTTAGAGTATGGATCCATGAGCAAAAGCTTAGCTTAATAATAATTCGATCCTGGGACATATCTTTCACAACTATATCAATGTGTTAGGCAGAAAAGACACAACATGTTGCTACTAGAATAGAAAACTGTGTTCAATTAGTGCACAACTTATAACACAGTATAATTGAGTGGTTTACACCTTTTGAGTGGTTTGTGAGCGCTATTTACCACTCTTAGTTCTGGGAAATATGATTAATCATAACATGCTTTAAAATCTAACTGCATCATTGACTATGCAGTAAGAGATTATTTTGGAGCTTTTCCATGGTTATTGCTCCCCTATGTGTGGATATAGCTTAATCCAAATAATCTTTATAAATATCCACACATCTCATAAAATAAGTGTCCAAATGTCTCTAAACTTCTGAGATCATTGGACTTTAGAAATATGAGCATGTTACTTAAGATTGCCTTGTGAATAATACAAAACATTCTTAATATCAGTGGTCTAGTCTGGATTTAATTAAATACTGCCAATATTCCCAGTAAAAATGTATGCCAAATCTGTATGCATCCAGATTTGAGCTAATCTCAAGCTTCTGTCAGCTGAATCATAAATGATTATCTTTATAATTTAATTTCAGCTTGACTAATCTTTAACTGAATTCTCTGAAATTATTTCTTTCTGTCAATGTATGACTAACTGATATAAGGCCTGTACTCCTTCAGACCAAAATAATTCATGGAAAATTTTCCTCAATTTCTAACAGCAATATGCATAGCTTGACAATAAAATGTCATTAGTATAGAGTACCGGTGAATGAAATTCCCACCTTTAATTTTCATGCAGCTGTCCACCTCACTTGGATTGTTCGAAATTTCCATTAGAGTCGGGCTTAATTTCATTAACCCACTTAAATGACCCACTATTTTGACTCATTTAGAAACTTCTACTAAATTCTTTATTTTGTTCATCAATCTCAATTATTCTTATATGGTTCGAAAACCATTTAGATGAACACTTTAATGTCTTATTTTGTTCATCCATCTCAATTTACTTTTACATGGTTCGAAAACCATTTGGATGAACGCTTATTTTTTAATGTCTTATAAGGTGAACAAGCTTTATTTAGTGTTTACCACCATAATCCGATCTCATAACTTCATTTGATTAGTATCTTAAATTTCTTAAAGGAAATCGGAGGTCGCTTATGGGTAAACATAGCCATAAAAAATCATTTGTTGGCTAATATCTTAACTTCGTGAAATTTCCACTTAAAACTAAACAACGCCATTAAAATCTAAGGGAAAGAATATCTCTAACTCACGAGACGTTCCAAACTCCCCTAGGTATGTGACATAAGCGACAATGACACTATTTCAATGACGCCTTACTTCCATCATTATAGAATAATTATTCTCCTCATTCTTATTTAAGCTTAGTTCACTAATGACGCAGCCGAATTTAAAACATCATCAATGTTTGATCATGTCCACAAATGGATTTCTTAAGTCTGCACCCTATATGTGACTTGTCTTTCCATAACAAAACCCTCAAGTCATGTTATGTATATTTAATTGTGCAAGTCACAAATTAAGAGATACAAAATTCTAGCGTCCACATAATGGAGCTATGAGTCATAAATGAGGTAGAATAATCTTCTCTTATTAGAGCTCTTGATGAGCTCCCACTGATTGTATTATTTATTTAATGGAAGCATAATATCTTATTTTTCATAAACTTGAATCACTTAATTTTACTTAGTGAATTATCATTTAAGTAATAATAGATGTCAGAAATTTCTAAGGGTGAAGTGTCTCGACCTTAATGAGACATATATTCTCCCCTAGAAATGTGGCCGGAAAATAAGGCCATAATTTCGACAATGTCTCATAATGATTCAACCCAAAAAATAATGCCCTTAATCTTCTTATTTAACTACTTTATTGAATCAGGACATTAAGCATGTCCCTATTTCTTGCAAAGAACTTACACAAGAAAATTTCAAGGGTAGCATACATAGGACATAGAGGCAATTTTATTTCCCCTTGCGAGGAATATGAGCTTTATTATCATTAAATTTGGAATTGCTACAACCCCATAGTAAAGCTTCATCTTTGCCATCAAATGACAAGATTAATAGGATCTTACTTAGTTTGCCTCTTAGTCTTCTATATTTCTTATTGATTTGCGGAATGATGAACCAAGTCAATTATGGTCCACTTTGTCTTAGTATTACAACTCTGAAAATGACCGTAGTCTAATGGGAGAAGAATCATATGAAATGGAGAAGTGGCGCATATGAAATGTGCGATGTCCATCTCACTAAGTTTGCACGCCATGTGATTTATTTCTTGTGCTACCTTTTAAATTATGGCGGCAAATGTGCATATGCACTAAAATTGTACTAAGCATTAGTTTTGACAAACTTCTAAAGTTCATCTCAACGTTTGCTAGATACAGTTTCGCAATGTCATGCTCAAAATTCTCCCCTAACACTAATAGGGATGATAATCTCAATATTTATGAGTGACATGCGAAACATAGCATTATATTGGCCTTCTCCCAGGCTAAAGATGCCTCTTGAGTTTAGGAAAAAATTAGTGACATTAGCTGCGGGAGCCACAAGGAATCCTTTGTTAATGCTAAGTCATACTCAAATAGGCCTTAGGCTCAGTTAAGTCAATGAGGAATAATAATAATAATTCCATAGACTTTAACTGATAAATAAAATTAAGTGGCACTATTATTGTGGTTGCTTGTGCAAATTACGTACAATAGTACATTAACTTACGCAATAATAACTTAATCTTTATTTCGCTTTGCATCACCGTTGGGCAGAGACAAAACGAAGGAATCAATAAATGAAATTACTTATAATCCAAAATCAAGTCACCGTTGGGCAGAAATGATTAGGGAATAAACATTAATGTCTTAAGTCACATCACCAAAAGGTAGAAGTGATAAAGTAAAAAAACCCAAATCAAATCACCATACGGTAGAAATGATTAGGAAATGACGCCATTAGTGATGCCATAGAATTAAAATTAAAATCCTTAGCCATATCACCGTTGGCTAGAAATGGTAAAGGAATTAAGCTTACTGACAGAGTAGATCCTCGATCACATCACCGTAAAGTAGAAGTGATAAAAGGAATTAATGCACTAATGGCATCAATAAAATTCTAAGTCATATCACCATTAAGGCCAAAATGACAGAGAAAATAATTAGATTTCTTCCCTTAATTACATCACCGTTGGGCAGAAAATAATTAAGGAAATAACAATCTTAATGAAATCATCTTTCTTTCTAGATAAACTTCCCGCTGGTTCCATTTATCTAGAAATAACTTACTCAGTATTGCAACAGATCTTAAATGATAAGAATTGCTGATGGCATATAATTAGTTTACCATGGCTTTAATCAATCATATGCAAAATAAACTTAGAATTTCATAGTCAAAGCACCATTGGTCATAAATAATTATGAATAATCTTAAAATTAATTCCTTAATTATATCACCATTTGGTAGAAAATAACTAAGGAATAAAAAATTATAATTGACATGCAATTATAATAACGTGGGTTAAATATAGCTTCATATCTTAATGCTTCTAGTCGAATTTCTCGTTGGTTCCATTCGACTATAAATAATTAAGTTTCTAAGGAAATGACCATCATAATGATGTTGACATGAAATCATAAATACTTTCTAGTTAAATTTTCATTCAACTAGAAATAAATTAAATGGCTTAAAGAAATAATAATCTTAATAAATATTGACATGAAATTATATTAACGTTAGTCAAATATAATATCATATCATTAATTTCTTTCTAGTTAAACTTCCCGTCGGTTCCCGTCGGTTCCATTTAACTAGAAATAGTTTTCCGAGTGATCAAATAATTGACCATAATTTTCCAGCAATTTTAAATGGCTAAAATAATGCCAGATGAAATTGTGTAATTTTGAAATTAATTAGGGCGTTTAGTGAATTAAATTGATTTCGGCCCAATTCTTCCGTAGTCGGCCCAAACTTGGGCCGGCCCGTTTTCGCGTGTGTGCGCACGCGCTAGCTGAGTGCGCCCCAGCCAGCGGCCCAGGTGGCTTCCGCGGCCGAAGGCGCGTGGCCCGTCAGTGGCGCTGGCCCAACGCGGAGAGGATCCGAGCCGTCCGATTGATGGACGGCTCAGATTGTTCTTGCGCCGGTAAAGTCGCCGACGGGGAGGGGTAAACCCTAATCCCCATTTTCATTTCTCCTCTTCTCTCTGATCTCTCCCCCGATCTAATCTCCCGGCGAGCGAGCGAGTGGAATCGGCGGCGATCTTGGCGGTGACGGCGTTCCGGCGAGGTGGAGCACGCGTGCGACGACGAGCACCGAGCGGCTTCCATTTGCGCCGGCTGGGGGGAGCACGCACGAGGGCGGCGGCAAGCCGTGCCGGGTGTCGGCGGTCCGGCGAGGCGGGCGCACAAGCGGCGGCGAGCACCGATGCGGCCCGGACCTCGTCGGCGGGGGGGCGGAGCCCGAAGGCAGCCGCCAAGCCGACGCTTCCCGTCCCCGGCGAGGGAAAGTGAGGAGGTGAAGTGGCGGCGATGCCGCTTCCCGGAGAAATTCCGGTGGGTTTAGAGGCTTCGAAATCCGGTAAATTCCCGATCCCAAAACCCTAATATTGAGTTTAATCTGGATTTAATTCGGGTTTTGGTCTTAGGGTTCTTAGAACCGAAATTAGGGTTTCTCGAATTTTGGGGATTTTAGGCCGATTTGCTCCGGCTTATTGGGGAAATTTCAATCTTGTTTATTCCCTTTTGCCTAACAGTGGGGAATTTCAATCTAGTTTATCCCCCTGTTTTCTCCAATTTACTTCTTAATCCACTGTTCTTATATGATAAGAACCTAGGGTTTATGAGTTGGGAACAACGAGAGTTTCAATCTGATTTATCTCATTCGTTCTCCGCTTAGTAAAATTCGAGAGAAAAGAAAATCTCTCTCTGATTGAATTTCTCCCACTGTTAGGCAAAAGGGAATAAACAAGATTGAAATTTCCCCAATAAGCCGGAGCAAATCGGCCTAATATCCCCAAAATTCGAGAAACCCTAATTAATCAATAAATTGATCTGTGAAGGGGTTTCTAAACTAAATTGTTTTTGAATGCTCGATGTAGGCGTTGAACACCGGCGGCCACGGCAGCTCATACGGGAACGCGACGCCGGCGTGCGCGTTCCGCTGGTGCTCCCGTTCCACCGCCATGGTCCGGAGCCACGCTTCCTCCGACGGCGACAGACAGCATGAGGTACCCCCTTTCCGCCCCCGACGATTACGCCAGCGATGCCGCAGCCGAAGTACACATCTCCTTGCGGCCCGGCAGCCCGCGGGTGGCCACGGACAAATTCAGGGTGTTCTTGACTGAGCAGTGAGCACCCAGTCGCCGTTGCTGGGTAGCCAGGAAAATACTCTCAGGTGGTCGTCGTTGCTCACGCCGATGATACGGAGCTCGCCGCCGCCATCGTCGTCACCGGCGACGACCCTGAACTTGCACTTGCGGGACCACTCCCTCATGTGGTCTGGGAATACGACGATGGAGAACCTCGCCGTGAGCTCGTCAAGGGCTAGGCGGCTAGGAAGGCACCGAGGCTGCCGCGGCGTCTCATCTCCGACGTGGGGACGGCGACCATCTGGTAGCGCCGCGTAAGTGGCTCGCAGACGATGAGGCCATCAGGGCAGCAGCGGCTGTCGGAGTCTCGGCGATCGTCCAGGAGGCGGTGTCCGGGACGAAGTCGAGTGAGAGGCGGCAGCCGTAGACGAGAACCGGCCTGGAGACGTGGACGAACGCCGCATGGGAGACCGCGCCGCCAACGGCGTGGTATTGGCCGACGAGGTCGGGCCCGTGGTGGACACGGAAGCGGCGGAGGAAGACACTGCACCGTCGGCGGCATCAACGACGACGACGCGGCGCTAGCGCTTGCAGACGGACGCGGCGCGGATGAGGCAGGCGGCGGATCGGAGTGGAGGCGCAGCAGGACGAGCTCGAGGACTTTGTCGGAGATGTCGTCGACCACCCACGTAGCCACGTAGGCCTCGCCGTCGCCGGCAGCAACAAGACGGTCTTCTTCCTCCGCGCCGCCGTGCTCCGGTTCTTGCAAGTTGCGACGGCTCATTCTCGGATCCATTAACCTTGATCTTCTTCTCGCGTTTGTTTATGGCTTGTTATAGAGTATACCATATCGTGCATCATGGTAGTATTTTATACTCACTCCGTTTCAGGTTATAAGACTTTCTAGCATTACCCACGTTCATATGAACTAGGAAGGTAGTCCGCGCATTCGCGTGGGCATATATTTTAAGATGTGTTTGAGATATTTACAGTTATAAGGATGGAATATTAACTGTAGAACACCTCTCATGCTTCAAAAAACAAATCTCCGTATAATTTTTCTGTCAGCATAGCGTATAATTTTTCCAACCTAGCTTTATACCATACACTATTTGGTTAATCCCAATAAGTAATTATCAATAGTCTTTATCATATAAAATAAGAAGGAAAAATTAGTTTGTTTTAAAAAAATATATCTAACAAATTAAGTGTAAATTGAAAATAAGGTGTTTTTGTCTTTAAATTGAATGTTAGTGGACATTTTTCTAACAAATCTTAAAAAACTTTTATCGCTAACAAATGTTTTTTATTGTACCATCAAGTTAGACCTCCTTTTGTTTGTTGTATATTGATGCAATTTGTTGCATACTTACATATGAATCAATAAACATAGAGGAGATATACATATCCTAGTCCTCGCTTCCCTACGATACGTGTGATCTATGGTGCTATTTTTTTTAAAAAAAATAGCTAATCAACATGAATCTTAAAATTGAAATCTAATAGTAAGAAATATAACTTTTAAACCAACTATATACTGCTACCTTAGTTGCTACCTTAGTGTAACTTATATATGCAATAATTTTTGGAGGAATTCATAATTCCATGGCGTACCATAGAGAAAAATCCATTAACATCTATGCACTTAAAAAAAGATGCAATGGTTAAATATAATTTCGCATGCATTTTTATTTTTGAAGTGTGGTGTATTATGAATGCGCGCTTGAATATCTATCCATGGTATATTAAAAGTGCATTAAATACTATCTAAGGTTGATTACATGGTAATATAATATAGTTTAGAGCACTTACACAAAAGATTATTTGTGTTGCTCAGCTTATTTGAGCATACTAATTTCAATAAAATTATGAAGGTACTGTATTTTTATCCCGTGGTTTATACGATTTATATATGAGTTAGCTTTTTTTTTTTTATTTAGCTATGCATGTTTGCAAAACAATGTATGCTAGTGCAACATGTTTTAATTGTAATTCAGTTGACATGTAAAAGACTAATGGCGTGTGTTCCTTCGAATTTTTTATTCAATGGCTTGCACTATTTATATGTAAACTATGCTCAAATCTTATATTCTTATATAGTATAATATAGGCACATGAAGCTTACATTACTGGAATGACTCCAACAATCAGATAAGAAAACAGGCGTATAACTTATAATTATAATTATTGATTGTTTCTTTTTGTTTGATAGCTTAAAGAAATAGTGAGAGGAGAGGAATGAAGAGAATAGGGTCGAACCATAGAGGGAAAGGAAAGGTTGGGTAGTGCTTTGCACAGGTTGGTGGGAGAGGGATGGAGGAGACTCTCTTTTTCTAAATGATTTAGCTAATGATCAAATGCTTTTTTTTCTCAGATTTCTATAATTTTTAAGGTGTGCATATCACAGGTTATGAATTTCTATGAAGGTAGATTCAGTTTTAACTGGAAACCGATGATAAGATGTTTTGTGTTTTCCTTTCTTCTAAGTTTCTTCTAATTTTTTTAAATGTGACATATGTTGACTTAATAGTGACCCCGTATTTTCTCTAATTTTTATTATATAGAATAATTTTTGATGACATAATATATATTGTCAATTTTTTGTTGTTTGGTTGTTGGTCTATGTTCAAATTATGTATTTCAAATTTTATATACCAAAATATGAGTAATAAATATTCTCATTTTCTTATTTCGTTATAGATAAAACTAAATAAAAGAACATTACAAAGAAATTAAAAATCAGGTGTTATTTGGTTGCAGAAGAGATGTTTATTCAAATTATGTATTTAAATTTTTATATAGTAACATATGGTTAATATAGATCTTAATTTATTTATGTATCTAATTATAAAAATAACAGTTCAAATAAATTAAACATTAGATATAACTACGATGATTTAGCTATCTAACTGTTGATTATTGTTCTTTTGAATTCTTAGTCAAAAATACATCGTTTAATAATTTATATAATCATCAAATAATTAATCATCCCTGTCTATAATAATATATGGCCCAAAGTCTATAGCCGTGCCTGACCCGTTTAGCCTCAAGCTAAGAAATTAAGTTAAAAACTACCATGTATTATAAGAAAAATGGAAAGAGGCAAGGAGAGGAGAGGCGGTCAAGGGAGGGAGTAAACATGTACGTGTGCATATGTACGGTACTGCGGATGGGAGAATATTTTGTCAACCAATTTAAGTTATCTATAATTATTAATTGATCTAATATACTGAAATAATGAATCACCAAGCGTTTTATAAAATATCCATGTGGCAGATTAAGAGTGTTTATAGGATATTTAATGAATTTTTTTAGCATATAATAGAAATAAAGGGATAGAGGGAGAGCTAGCTAGACTTAATAGATCAAAGTCTATTTGAAATAATTTCAATTTTCGTTATTTGGGGATTAAAAAAGCAAACGAACGGAGGACAGCAAACGTATGACGTTGTATGTCGTACGTGCGTATTCCCCACGGAGACAGGATGGAGGGATGTTTTTTTAAACAGTGATCTAACCATCTAATATAATGGGTCCACCGATTTAAATGAAAATCAATGGTCAGATTTATCTATTTTATTATGGTGCCACGTGGCGGTATGAGAGCGTTTATAGGGTGCTATGTGGTGATGCGAGAGCATTTATAGGAAGTTTAATGGACTTTTAGTAGATGATAGATAGATAGATATACGCTAATGATCTAGACATATATGTATATATATATATATATGTATATATATATGTATATATATATATATATGTATATATATATATGTGTGTGTGTGCAATGTTAGAAAGTCTTATAACCTAAAATAGAGGAAGTAAAAAATTTAGTGCTTATTACTTTAGCCTATAAACAATCACCTTTACTCGAATTACAAATTAATCTACTGACGTGCACTAGAAGCCATTGAAAATTATTCCTCTATTTTTCGTCTTTCCTTTTCTTCTTCTCCCTTCGGCTTTGCTTCGCTTCTTCATGCTAGGTTGCGCCGGTGACTAAGATAGCGTCACGAACCCTGATTTGAGGCTTTAGGCTTTATGGTTTGGCGAGCGGTTAGATCATTAGAGCGTCCCCTTCCTCTCTGCAGTTCTTCTATTTATAGTACTAGTGGGGTTCGGGAGCTTATCTCGAATTTAGATTCGAAATTAGTTTTAACCAACCACAAAAACGGCATGGTTCCAATTTACCCCAAAAAACTTTGTTCTTATCTCTTTAGATCGGACTTGTGGGCTCAATCCGAAAAATCAACCAACAGATATAACATTTATATGATGGATAAAATCCTTATAAATATGAGATTTAAATCATAATGCTTGGAGTAATGTGCCATATGTCAAAAATTACATGTTATTTTGTGTAATTTGAACCATAATATATGTGGTTTTGTGAAATTTATTCTTTTTTAATCTTTTTAATAACTACTAGCAAAATGCCCGTGCGTTGCACCGGGTATTAGCGGGGTGACTGAAGTTTGATATTAATGATTTACCAAAACACCATAGTATAATTATTAGCATCAATTATATGTACAGTGATAAAAAAAAGCCATGTTTGTTTTTTTACTATTAATCTCAATCTCTACTACATCATTCGTGTATGAGTCAGTTTTTCTAAGTTCGTTCGTTTTTTAAAATACAACAAGGACTTCTAATTGCATCTCATAATTTTCTAAAAACGTCCAATAAACGACCAATGAAACCACACACAATCCTAAAAAAGTAAAACAAAGCAACATTCAATTCAAACTATATATGCCATTAATTAGATCTCAATTTCAAAGAGATTATGGAAGTTGAACGGAGTCAATCAGAGTTATGGATCACAAGATATGGATTTTCGAAGTTTGAAGGAATTATAAACCGAGGGGAAGAGTGTCACGGTGAGGAGATGATTTAGACTTCCAGAGGGGTCTTTGGGTTAAAGAGGGATGTAACATGGACTTTAGCGGACAAAGAGGACTTCACACAAACTCCTTTAGAGGGATCCATCTCTTGGGATCGGCCGAGGCAAAAAAAGGGAGCCAACACAGACTTGTACAAGGAATCGACCTCATGGGCTTGGACAGAGAAGTAGGGGGACATGATATAGACTTTTAGAGGGAGAGAGTTCAGAGAGGAAGAGTCTAGACTGTGGGTCCCACCCCCTTTCTCTTTCTCTTTTCCTTTCCCCTCTCTCTCGGCCTCATCTCCATCTCTTCCTTTTGAGCGCTGCACCAAGGGCGAGCGAAGGCGACGCGACTGGGGGTGGCGGCGGTCTGGCGCAGCTCGGCGGCGCCCTGGCGCGACAGTGCACGCGGGAGGAGGTGGAGAGGAGAGGTCGGCGCCGCGTGGTGGTGGCGGCGACCTGTCGGTGGCGCGGTGCGGCCGGGGTGGCGGCTGGGCGGCGGCCTGGCACGGGTGGCCGGTGGTGAAGGAGGGGAGAGGCTAGCGGTGGGGAGATGGAGACCGGCGGCGGTGGGGATGGGAGAGAGGGCGACCAACCACCCCCTCCCCTTCCTCCCTCCATCCATCCATCCTTATCTCACCCAACCACCCCCTCCCTTTCCTCCCTAGGTACGTCCTCCCCATAACGCCGCCCGACTCCCACCCGCCCCCAGCGTTGCTCGCCGCCTCCTCACCACCGGACCTCGCCGCGTGGCCGTGCCTCCTCAACCTTGTCGTCGTCGCCTTCGTCCTCCCTCTCGGCATCTCTCCCGTGCAGCGAGTTGGTGTGGGCACAGGAGCCGCAGCGGCGGCTCCTCGGCGCGGTGGTGGCGCGGCAGCTCCACTGCACATGCAGCGGCGGCGCCGCGGCTCCTCGGTGCAGTGGCGGCTCCTTGGCTAGGCCGTGCCTCCTCGGCCTCGTCGTCGCTGCCTGCTCAGTGGCTCCCCGGCGCAGCGGCTCCCCCATGGCTCGGGACCTCCACGACGGTGAGGTGGCGAGGAGGAAGTTGGGTGAGGAGCAGCAGAAGCCTCCCGCTCACCCCTCCTTCCTCCTCTGTGATGTTGGATTATCTCCTATCCTGGAATTTTTTTTTTAGCTGATTTCGATTGGATTGGGTTAGATTTGTGATGATTTGGGATTGGTCGTGGGATCTTCAGAGCGGATGAATCAGAGGGAGGAGGTGCGCAATGCATGGACTAAGACGGATTTGTGCGGTTTTTATTATTCTTCTCGTTCGATTTCGCTTCCTCTACGTTCTATGTTTGGTTAGATTTTGTATTCGATTGAATTTGTGTAATATCGATGTGTGGCGCGTGTGGGAACGGAGGGCTCGATTCCGATTGGGATTGTGGGGGTGGGGGTGGGGGGGAGGGGATTGCGATGGACGGATGAAAAGGCGAACGTTCGAGGTGACGAACGGAAAAATCCAAATCTTTTAATTAGTTAAGATTTAGGTTACATGCAAGAGGGTTGGAAACACTTTACCTTTTTCTAGAATATAAATAGAATAGTATATACTCCTATATCGTATCAATAGTAGGATATTAAAAGTTTCATTATTAGGCTCTGTTCGTTTCCTGGAGTTCCCAACTCCCCCATCTCATTTTCCGCGCGCACGCTTTTCAAACTGCTAAACGGTGTGTTTTTTGCAAAAAGTTTATATACGAAAGTTGCTTAAAAAATTATATTGATCCATTTTTGAAAAAAAAATTAGCAAATAATTAATTAATCACGTGCTAATGGACTGCTTCGTTTTCCGTACCGGAGGGATGGGTTCCCAACTCAACCAAAAGAACAGAGCCTTAGTGTTTTTCACGTATTTTGGTAAAATAATAGGACGCCCTGTACCACCCTATCCTTCAAATCTGTATTAGCGCACTCTGCATAATAATTGAGGCCATATTTCTCATAGTAGCTTGCTTATATGAAAGGGTACCTGGAGGTAAATCTATATAGAATTTTCATGTAGTGGCGGAGCCAAAAATAAGATTTTTGAGCCCAGACAAACTTTAATATAACTAGTATTTGAGATAAAAATTTCAACGTCAATTTACTTATCAATCTAAAGTTGTGTTCTCACCAACGAGCCTGGGCGGCCACCCGGACTAGCCACTGTTTTCATGTGGGATAAACACTCGGACCTA